TATAAAGTAAACTGTAAAATATAAACTGTAAAATACAAAGTAAGCTGTAAAATGCAAAGTAAACTGTAAAATATAAAGTAAACTGTAGAATATAAAGTAAAACTGTAAAATATAAAGTAAGCTGTAAAATACAAAGTAAACTGTAAAATATAAAGTAACGAATGTAAAACTTTAGTTATTACAATTACCAATTTTTAGAAGTGAAGTTGTTTATACTTTAATATCCTCATAACGCAAATTTGCTATAAAAATGGAATTACGTTCCTTAAATAATGTATTTGAAAAATCAAACTTGTTGATGATGGCCACCGGGAGACGTATAAAGATCAGCCATCAGGATTTTCCTGATATAAAATTAAGGTGATTCTCAAAATTCAAAAGAAAGAAAAAACTAGAAGAAACTACTTAAAAAAACTTATAATATGATCCAAAGTTTCTGAAACTTTAAAACGCTTCTCGGTTGCAAGACTTTTGTAAATTTTTTTTGTCAGTCTTGATAAAATGAAAATGATTTCTATCGTTCTTCCTTAACATTCGAAGTCTAAATCTATTTTAATGTTCCACATAATTTTGTTTAGAGCTGCAGTCTTTCTTATTATTTTTTGCTTTCCCAGTTGAGGGTTTTCTAGTTTTGTTTTTAAAGACCCGAAGACACACATTTGGACAATAGAGTGGTAACACACAATGGTAAGACTTATATGGATTATTTCATTACATTGCCAAAATTACACGAAATCTCTTGAGGCAAGTAACCTTTATGTTGTGAAGCGCTACACAAGAAATAACAGTCGGATGATAAATGTACTTGACAATATATGAGAAAAACCTCAAAAGACTCATCAACACTGCCATCATTTGTTTGAGAATTTATTTGTTGTTTTTCTTAATAGATTAAATAGAAATATTCCAGCGTAAATTAAACATATTTTCCGTTAAATGCTGGGATAAAAGAACGAATTGAGTTAGATTTGTTTGTTTGTTTTTGAATTTCGCGCAAAGCTACACGAGGGCTATCTGAGCTAGTCGTCCCTAATTTAGCAGTGTAAGAATAGAGGGAAGGCAGCTAGTCATCACCACCCACCGCCAACTCTTGGGCTACTCTTTTACCAACGAATAGTAGGATTGACCGTCATATTATAACGCCCTCACGGTTGAAAGGGCGAGCATGTTTGGTGTGAGAGGGATTCGAACCCGAGACCCTCAGATTGCGAGTCGAGTGCCTTAACCACCTGGCCATGCCGGGCTTAGTTAGAAGAACGGGCAGCGTTTTAGCAGTATTCACACTGTGTGTGAGACTTGTACTTTTATCATACAAATAAATCCAAGGTTAATTTCAACCTGAATACAATTCATTGCAGAAATTTGCTAGAAATTGATTATTGTTTCGTTATCAATAGAACACCATTCAGTTTAAAGAAACGTTAATTTGTTATTAGTTATATGCGGATGTAATCCGTTATAATTCATTATTATAACTCAGAAAATAGTATCGATATAAAAGGCTTTTATATAAACAGCGTAGTAACCATGTCGTTCTTAAGTGTGAATTTACGAGTTATCTAGCTTTTTT